GGGGGGGGGGGGGGGGGGGTACCGTTTAGTGGGATACAGTTTAGGGTTTAGTGTGTACGGATTACGGGAATAGGACTTGCGAGTAGAAGTGGGAGGGTGAAAACCTAGGGCGTTAGAGTTTCTGGCACTTCGCCATGAGGGACTTGGGCTGTATGGCTTCGGGTTTAGGTTTTGTGGATTACTCCTTGTTGTTGAACATTGACTTGTAGTTTGAATGTGCGGGGATTCCTGTGTCTGAGGTTGTGAACCCCAAGGCCTAACCGTAACAATCTGCATCATTGCGAATATGAAAACCAGGCATATTTTGCGACCCACACCAGCTTCAGATATACCTGCGGGCTTTAGGTCTCTTTGTTCCAAATCTTGAGCTGTCCTTTGCAGATTGTATACAAACGAGTTTTAGGTCTTTGGGCTCAAAAACTTGAGCTGTCTTTTGCAGAGATCCCCCAAGAAAATTAGGGTAGTAGTCAAAAGAACATCGATGCTGCAAACTGGCTTTACACCCAACCTTCCACAATCCAATTCCAGGTGGTGGAGGCCTTAAACATTAAACCCTCCTACGCCCCACCACCTTAACCCAAATCCAACTCTTAGAGTCTTAGGGTCGCGGGTTTACGGTTCCCCAAACTCTAAACCCCACAACCCTAAAGCCTATAAGCCCTAGGGTTTAGCTCCCCTACACAGCTTGTAGAACCAAAGGAGCTGGATCCCTGAAGTAACCCCCGGACTCCCCCCCATAGGGTTTAGGGGTGAGGATTCGGTTTTAGGATTTGGGGTTTAAGCTTTTGGGCTTAGGATTTAAAGAACGATTTAGGGTTTTGGGTTTGAGGTCCAGCTTTGAGGCTTTAATGAGCTCGAGGTAGATTATAATCTACATGATGCCAAGGAAGCCCAAGGAATCATTGGTAATCATTTGTATACAGCAGGGGAACCTAAACCGAAGAGGGGAGGTAAAGCAAGCTAGGGCAGACTAAGCTGCCGGACGAGGGAAGGTTTCGAGCTCTGCAAAAGGTCTGGTTGGAATTAGTGTCTCGGTGCGTGTAACGGGTTGAGGGTTCCGGGAAAGAGTAAGCTTCGAAGATCTAGCCCTGAACCCTGAGCCCTAAGCCCACACATGCACGTGTCTGACCATGTGCTGTTGTTTACTTCTCGTATCCGGAGAAGGGGTGAAGGGGGTTGGGAGGGGGGAGGGGGGGTTAGTTACGACAATGTTACCCAAACCAACCCAAATCCCTGCTAATTGCGGCTTTTTGCCTGTTTATATAACATGTGCAGGAGGATGTTTGATGTTCAGCCACACGAGGCGCAGTCACAAGTGTTCATGACCCCAAACTCTAAACCCTAAACCCCTCAAGCCTAAACTCTAAGCCCTATAACCCCAATCTCTAAACCCCATTCCCTTCAAGCCTACCTTAAGCCCTACAACCCCAAACTCTAAACCCCAAACCCTTCAAGCCTACCTTAAGCCCTATAACCCCAAACTCTAAACCCCTCAAGCCTACCCTAAGCCCTAAGCCCTAGACCCTAAACTCCTCAAGCCTAAACCCCTAAGCCCTAAGCCCGAAAAGCTGCAGACCCCCGGAGCCGAGGCCGGGTTCTCCAATCGTGCCTTAGGTGGACTCCCAGCTGCATGAGGAGAGCCCAGGTTTAGGGTGTGTGGGTTTAGGGTTTTTGAGGGTTTAGGGGTTTAGGGGGTTTAGGGCTTGAGGGGTTTAGGGCTTTGGGGTTTAGGGCTTAAGGGTTAAGGGTTTAAGGGTTAAGGGCTTAGGGGTTTTTAGGGGTTTTAGGGGTTTAGGGCTTAAGCCGGGCTTAAAGGTTTAGGGGTTTAGGGCTTAAGGGTTTAGGGTGTTTTTGGGTTTAGGGGCTTCGGGTTTAAGGGTTTAGGGGGGTTCGGGCTTTTAGGGGTTCTGGGTTTAGGGAAGAAAGGCCTAAAAGCGCGGCAGCCCCAGACCCTAAATTAGGGTTTAGGATGGTTTTTGGGTTCCGGGTTTACCATAACCTACTTTTCGTAGCATCTTATTTTAAGCCCGAGTATGGGATGTATAGGGACCCTATATTATAACACTGGGTAGGTAGTTCCATTTCCAGCCACTTAGGACAGGAATGACATGTTTAATGTAGAAGCCCAAAAATGTTACCAATATTATTCCCATAGGCTCCTAAGTAGTTCCTTTTTGTGGTTCACGTTTAGAATCCTATAAGGTAATCCCAAGAAGGAAGTACTAAGGAGCCTATGGGTAACAAAAAAAGGAGGGGGGTTCCTTATGATAACTACCTTAACCCCAAATAACCTACCTTTTTAAGGACTTATATAAAGAAATCAAAATAAGCAACCCTAAAAAGATAGGTTCTTTAGGGTCCAGGTATAACTGTACAAAAGGAGGGAGTGGGGGCTCTCCTGCAAGGAGCAGGTTGCTGAAGATGTGGAGCTCCGGGAGTTCGCTTCTAGATTCGGGGTCTTTGGTCTTTAGGTTTAGGGGTTTAGGTCTTTAGGGTTTGGGGGTTTAGGCTTTAGGGTTTAGGGGTTTAGGGGTATGCACCCCTCGGCTGCTCAACCGTATGACTTCATCACCAGACCTCAAAACTCTTACACCTTTCTTATAAGCCTGATCCCTGTCTGCCCCAAATCCTACAACCCTACAAACCTGAAGCCCCTAACCAAACCTAAACCTCGGCGCCCGACCCCCCTGAAACTAAAACCTGTAGAGTGCCGAGCACCTAAAGCGTATACCGTGAAGCCTTCAACGGCCCAAGGATATTTGCAACAGAGCTACGGCGCGGCCTTTGGCGTGCTCCTGGGTGTTGGCCACTCGGGGTCGGCATTCTGGAGTTCTTGTGTTTGTTTTCTGTGCATTGGCGGTTCAGGCTTTTTTTTCCGGGTTCAGGGGTTTATTTGTGTTTAGGGTCATTGGGTTTTAGGGGTTACTCGGGCCTGGGTGTTGATGAAGGATTGAGTTGTTTTTTTTAAGGGCTTGGGGTGTATTTAGGGTCGGAGATTTAGGTTTCAGGATTTGGCGAAGTTTGCGAGTCGAGCTTCAGGTCGAGGGAATTTCGGATAGAGGATCGGGGAAGGTGCATGGCCTTGCAACGGTCCCTAAACCCTAAAGCCTAAAGCCTAAACCCTAAAGCCTGAACCCTAAAACCTAAACCCTAAGCCCGAAACCCTAAAGCCTAAATCCTAAAGCCCTAAAAACCTAAACCCTGAACCCTAAACCTAAACCCTAAACCTAAACCCTAAACCGTGTAGGTTTCAGGCCTGGTCTTTTTTGGTTTTGGGCCCCTAAAGCTTCAGTGTGCCGGGTTACCTTTGAGGGATTCGGGGGTTTCCGAATAAAGGGGACCCTAATGTAGTACCCTTAAATAGTAGGATCCTTATTATGAGGACCCCCAAAATAAGGTACCCTTAAACCCTAAACCTAAAACCCTAAATAGAAGGACCCCCAAAAGAAGGTACCCCCCCTTCTTTTCGGAAAGTCCCAGTTGGGGCCTTGAGTTTTGGGGTTTTGGGTTCCGGCCCTCAGGAGCCCTTCCAACCAGCCCTAAACCCTAAACCCTAAACCCTATAATCCCTAACCCTAAAGCCTCCCTCATCCCTAATCCTTAGTCCCTACAATTCCTAATCCCTATAATTCCTAATCCCTAAACCCTAATCCCTAAACTATAATTCCTCCTCCCTAAACCCTAAAACCCCAAAAAGCGAACGCTCATCCGGCTGCAGCCAGCGCGGGAATCCTGAAGTGCAGGTGATCCCTAAACCCTAAACCCTAATCCCTAAACCTTAATCCCTAAACCCAAAATTCCTAACCCCTAAATCCCTAAAAACCCCCAGAAGCAGCCAGCCCCCTAAACCCTAATCCCTAATCCCTAATCCCTATCCCCGAATCCCTAAAAACCCCAGAAGCAGCCAGCGCCGGCACAAACCCTTATAGAAACCCTTATAGATCCCTGTAAGGAACCCTAAAAGGGGAGCCTAATGTAGAGAACTACCAATCCTGAAGTGCAGGTGATGGGAGCCGTGCCTTGGATCTGCTCTCCTCATGGCCGCAGCTTGTCGGGTTATGGGCTTAGGGTTTAGGGTTTAGGGTTAAGGGTTTAGGGTTTACGGTTTAGGGCGGGTTGCTTGGGGGTTCATGGGCTTTAGGGGCTTTTGGGGTAGAGGGTTTAGGGTTTTAGGGGTTTAGGGTTTAGGGCTTCGTTATGGGCTTAGGGCTTTGGGTTTAGGGTTTAGGGTTAAGGGCTTACTTAGAGGATCATTGAACTTATACAAAATACGTTGATTGGGCTTATGAGGTTATATTAAATCTATATAGTTATCTTATGATACCTTATCCTGGCTACTACGTGCCATGATCCTCGAAGTCGGCACCCTAAACCCTACCTGAAAAGCCAAGTAGCCCAAAATAACAGACTACCATACCCTAAAGTAGCCCATAAGTGGCTCAAAGTAGTCCCAAAATACAGACTACTGGCTTTCCAGGTATACCCTAAACCCTAAACCCTTAGCCCTAAACCCTACGCCCTAAACCCTAAGCCCTTAACCCTAAAGGCCCTAAAGTGGGCCGGTGGAGTTGGCTTCGGCCTGAGGAGTTTTCGTCGCGGCCATGGCCAGGGCTTCCATGTGGAGCCTGCGGAGCTCTACATACCACTCTTTTCTTATTTAGGGTTTATAAGGGGTTATAGGGTTTATAGGGTTTATAGGGTTTAGCGTAGTTTAGGGTTAGTCGAGACCGCTTATGTATTTGAGAGACTGCGGGGGTTCCCTTGCTTGCGGGCTCTATGTCTATGTCTATGGGTGATTGGGTTTGAGGGCCCTCTGCCACGGCGCCTTCGACATGGACATTTTGTGTTTCAAGGGCCGTCCCTCCCTCCACGGTGCCACCTTTCCGCCTTTGACGCGTCTTCTAAAGCCATGGCCGGAGAGCAGCCCAAGAAGCCGACGGGAGGAGCCTATGGCATCTGGCTTGGGGAGCACCGGGCGGAGTTGCAGAAGGAGGTGGGGGTTTCCAAAAATAGGGGGACCCTAAGCTATAGTCCCTAAATCGTAGGATCCTTATTAGAATAGGGGACCCTCATATAGTACCCTAAAGTAGTCGGATCCTTATTAGAAGGACCCCAAAATAAGGTACCCCTAACTTTCGGAAAGTCCCAGGTGGGCCCCGGGAAGCCGGCGTCCGAGGTGGCGAAGCTTGCTGGATCCCGCTACAAGGAGCTCTCTGAGGATGTGAAGGCCGAGTGCCAGAAGAAGTTCGAGGAAGCCAAGGCCAAGTATGAGGCGGACATGAAAGCCTTTATCGATGCAGGCGGCGAGAAGAAGGGCATCAAGAGAAAGGCAGACAAGTCCGCGAAGAAGAAGAAGGATCCCGCGGCTCCCAAGAAGCCAGCCGGCGGTGCATTCGGCTGCTTCCTTGCCAAGAACAGGGCAGCCTTCACTGAAGAGGTGAAGGGCCAGCCAGTCACTGCCATCACCAAGCTGGCTTCGGACAGATGGAAGAAGCTCGGCGAAGACGAGAAGAAGGTCTTCCAAGAAGAATACGAGAAGAAGAAAGCCGAGTACGAAGAGGCCAAGAAGTCCTACGTGCCGCTGCCCAGCGCTGAGAACGAGGAGACCGAGAAGCCTGCAACCAGGCTGAAGCAGTGGTCCTGGGTCTCAAGCTTAATGGGTTCAGCCTCCTTCCCAGATGCTTCTTCTTTCCCTATTTCGCCATGCGGTCCACAAGAATCTTCGGACGATGTTGAATCTAGTCGTGTTACCCGGATCGACGTGTGTCTGCGCATATGCATTTTTTAAATTGTTGAGTTTGTGGGTCAACAATCCAGAGCCACCGCTGCTGAACAGACGAAGCACACAATCACTGACACACACACACACACACACGCGCGCGCACACACACACACACAGGCACGCCTATGCACACGCACGTAGTGCTTGGGATTTTTCTTGCCATCCGCTCTTCATGTGGAAAGCTGCAACATGTTTTGCTATCCGGTCCTTTCAGCTGTTTTTGCATTCTGCCTCGAGGGAGTTGTTGGTCGTAGATGTCTTTCGTAGTGTGACCTAGCCTAGGCCAAGAAGGCGCGGCTGTCCAAAGAGCAGAAGGAAGCGGCAAAGCAGAGCAAGGCAGCCGAGAAAGCCGAAGCAAAGCTGAAGAAGGCCTGAGTTCGTAGGCTTCTAGGGTTTAGGGTTTTAGGGCTTTAGGGTTTAGGGCTTTAGGGTTTAGGCGGTTTAGGCCTTTAGGGTTTAGGGCTTTAGGGCTTTAGGGTTTAGGGCTTCAGGGCTTTAGGGTTTTAGGGTTTTAGGGTTTAGGGTATAGGGCTAGTGCTTCTAGGCTATCGGGTGTGTAAGCTTATACGGTTTACGGGTTTTGTTATCAGATATTGAAACCCAGCTCATCGGTTAGGGGAACGACCTTTAAACTTTAAACGTTTATGAGGCGCTTTCCTAGGCTCCCGTTTCGGGCAACGTCCTTCGCTTAAGGCGTGCTACCAGTAGTAGCAAGACGCTGCTTCAGAAGAGTCACATGGTTTTCGTTCAGGTATGTACTTTGGAGTTGCAGAGAACATGGGCCTAAACACTGACCATCAAACACCCAACACCCCGAAAACGGAGCTCCCAACGGTCTGAAAACCAAGAAAAGAGTAATTAGACCCCTAGAACCCGTATACATTATGCTTATAGCCGCACAAACCCGAATCTCCTCAACAACAAACACTGAACCTTATGTATACCTATATCCACCCCAAGGCCTAAACCGCATGAGCCCTGTGAGCCCCAACCCATTCTGGAACCGCGTAGGGCCCGAACCCGTATTATAGAACCGTGTAGAAAGCCTTGTTTATGGACCTCTTCTGTACAGAACCCTTATCCACATAGAATCAGAACCTTTGTAGAACCCTGATTTATAGACCTCTCATATCCGAACCCTTAGTGGAACCCAGAGGCGGATGAGAAGAAAGCCAAGGCGGACGCCAAGGTCAAAGCCAAGGCGAAGGCCAAAAGCAAGGCCCGTCGTTGCTAGTACCTGGAGGTTCGTGGGCAGTTATAAGTGGAGTTATAAGTGCCCTACTATGGGTTACAATTATAGTTACCCTACTTAAAACCCTACTTATAACTACCACTGAACCTCCACGTACCCTTAAACCCTAAACCCTCAAACCCTAAACCCTAAACCCTAAACCCTAAAACCCTAAAACCTTAAACCCACAACCCTAAAGCCCTAAGGCCCTAAACCCTCAACCCTAAGCCGGATCCGGGTCAGGCTTTTGGCTTTCGAGCTTCGGGAGGAGTTTGGTGCTAGGGGTTTGGGGCCAAGGGTAGAACCCTAAACCCTAAACCCTAAGCGGGTTTAGGGTTTAGGGGTTGAGGATCAGGGTTTAGGGTTTAGGGGTTTAGGATTAGGGTTTAGGGGCTTAGGATTAGGATTTAGGGTTTGGGGGTTAGGGGGTTAGGATTGGGGTGAGATTCTAGGGGGAACTTGGGTTCAGTAGGATGGGGGGGCTACTCAGTTGGAAGCTTCGGACTTTCGTCTCGGAATGCCATGGAGGTTCAGGTGCCGCCGTCCTCTGAAATGGTGCGAACCCACGCCTGTCGCACATCAAAACGGGAGAGCCTCCCCAATTACTAAGGGCTTAGGGTTTGGGGTTGAGGGCTTAGGGGTCCTAAACCCTAAGCCCTAAACCTTAAACCCTAAGCCTTAAACCCTAAACCCTAAAAAAACATTCTGTGAGCTGCATGTGGAGGCGATCTATGGATTGCTTGCATACGAAACCGCGTGTATCGAAGAGCTGGAGACTCCCCCTGAACGTCTAGGGTTTAGGATTTGGGTTCAGGGTTTAGCGTTCAGGATTGGCGTGTAGGGTTTAGGGTTTAGGGTTATGTCGCAATTCCTAAGGTCCTCAGACGATAGGGACCTGAATATCTAGACTAGATTATATATATATATATGTTGTGTATGTATGTATATATATATATACATTGTGTATATATATAT